AGAAGAAAGGAAATAAAATAAAAAAAGATTAAAGAAGAGAAAAGGAAGGAAGGAATATAAACAAATTCATTTATTCATTAAAAAGATGAATGAATTAAGGGAAGGAGGCAATTTAATAGTCAGAGATGCTGTTACAGATGTAAACCAGCAGGGGGCAGAGTTGTACTGAGCTCAAACTGGGGGATTTTCAGCTCATCTGATTAAAATAAAAAACGGTCCAAATGATTCAATCCTTTCATCTCCTTAAACCAAGTACGGTGTGTTTTCTGGATTGTCAGCACACATAATAGATTTCAAAAATGTGTTGGGGTTTAAGGGCTGACTGAACTCACTCCATCTCCTCTGTTCGCTGGTATATTTGATTATTTGTTTGCTGTGGTTAAATACACGTTTAGGTGAGAAACCTTAACGTCGTCGCAGTGTGTTTCCAACTATTGCTTTATCTACAGTAACGTGCTGAGAACCACCGCAGTGACTGACGAGCTCTGAGTGTTTGTGAAGCTGCTTCGTCTGTGTGCAGGAACGAATCTGAAGTTCAGCTTAGACGTACGCTGTGGCGAAAACAAAAGCAAAACTGCACGACAGGTAAACAAGCACAAAGGTGACAACAAACACACCACTTCCTGCATGCAGCCCTCTGAGGCACTCACCCTCTGAGCTTTGTTCTGGTACTTAACCGCCTTCTTAGTGTCTGAAACGGCCCTCTCCACATAGTCTACCGAGTGCTCCACATTGTACTCTATGCGGTCTATCATCTCCCCCTAGGAGAGGTTAGTTCCAGAGGAGGAGAGGGAGATGCACAGGCAGACAGAAGGAAAGAAGGAGCCAGGTGTGTGGGGCAGGAAGTGTGGATGGAGACAGAGGAGGTGGACAGAAAGGRGGAGGGGCAGAAAAAGAGAGACAGAAAAGACAATCATGTCACCCGCTTGTTGGTCTTTTTAAACTTTCTGCATTGTGGGAGGCGCTCCTTTGTTTCCTCCACGTAGTCCTGAGCCTTCAGAACAGTCCGCTCAATGTTGTTCACCAACCCGCCCTGCATAAAAAATAAAAAAAACAATAAAAAATAAAACAAGAAACTTTTGGTGCAAAGCAGAAATAAACACACTCTGCCTTTAACAACCGTTAGATAAGAGCTTCCTGCCCATTTTCCCTTTAACACCCACCGCTTATGTTTGCCAAAAGGTTGCACTTCTCTCCCCGCTGCCTTTCACAGGTCGGCGCACAATCATTCTTACAACTATATTTACACTCCTTTATGGAAAAAAAACCCACTTTTTTCCCTTTGTAAAAAGAAATCCAAACCGTTTTGTATGATTTTGACCTGTGACATTTTATTCAAAGTAAACAACTTGTCTTTATATCTGAGTTTATCTGTCTTTAAGGATGATAATAAAGGTTTCTAACACCTGTAAGAAAGTATTACCTCAAATATCTCAAGAAATTTAAAACCAAATGAGAGTTAGTAATAATAAAGCCAACATTAATAACGTGGATACAGTTAATTTAGTGTATTTAGAAAGAAGAAACATTTAGTTCTACAGTAAGATGGTTACAGTTTTCCATTCATGCACAATTATATAAATATTGATGAAAGTGATTGTAAGACAAACGCAGGTGAGTGAATTACCTTGTGGCATTAGAGGAGCAGCAGCTTTTTCTGTTCTCTACAGCTTAGAGTCATAGGAGTGAGGACAGGTGTGTGTGGAGAGGGAAAAGACAACAAGAAAACAGCTGAAAAAAATTACTTTACATTCAAGAATAATCTTAAGACCCTTAAAAACACGACATTCTCAAACTATTAGACAAAAAAAACCCAGTTCCTCCTTCTGATTAAAGGATAAGTTATTGTCACACAACAAATTTATTTGTCCTTTTTGTGCCTTTTATGTGTCYACGTGGCAGACGATTTGATGATAAGGAGGATCTCTACGGGGTGTTCATAAAACTCTAAAAGTCAACCGTGCATTGAAGGATTAGCGATGCAAGTGGAAAGAAGAGGAATTACAACCCTGGATTAGACTAAATGTTTCTAAACATTGCTCATCGAGCGTTGATGTTATCAAGATCAGTCAGCATTTGTAACTGAAGACAATGTTCTGTGATGTAAAATGACACAAATAACTAATGCTGAACCATTAAAAAAGTTTTATTCATTTTAATAAAAGTAGAAAAACATAAGATTTAAAAAAGGATTCAAAAGTGGCGTGAAACGTTAGATTAAAAAAGATATAAATATAGAAATTCTACAAAAAATGCAAATAAATTTGGGTAAAATTTAAGGATTTGTGTATTTTATATTCAGTCATTCATCTTAAATGTTAGTAAATGTTGGTTTTGTTTTTAGGTAGAAACAAGATGGATCATTATAGGCTCTTATTGGATGGCATTGGCTCTAAAATAAAGAAATTAATTAATTAAAAAAGTTAATAAAATTTAAAGACATTATTATTTTTATGTTTCGCAGAACAAAAAATTTCTCAGGATCAGTGGCTCCTGGTGTGGTTCCTCCTTTAATCAAAGCATCCAAGTTTGACCTGAAACATTTATTATTTGTTCAATTACTCATCTTATTTATCGAATTTTGAAAATAATCTTGTCAGAAGCAGTTTTATTCTTAAAATAGGACATTTTTTTATATTTACCGTAATAATGCTGGTCCTAAGGTAAAATAATATAAAGTTAAATAAAAAACAAAAGTATTTCAAAGCCACAACAGCTCACCCTCCTGCTACAATGACCTAAAAAGCCATTAATTTTCTGTGAATTAAAAAAAGAGAAGCCAGCTTGAGTCTGTCGTTGATGTGGACTTGTTTTAATGGGACTGAAGCCTGGATTATGATCAGTTTTTAATGTGGAACAGGTCCATAAAACAGCGCGGCACAGTGAAGATGCGTGTTTTCACCTGGCTCTCCACCAGCATGGCCATGTCCATGAACATGCCGTGAAGTTCTCTGATGCTGTTCTCCAGCTTGATAATCTCGTTGTGCCGCGTCTCGATCTCATTCATGGCCTGCTGGGTGATGTTGTCCATGATGATCTGAGAAGAGGAAAAGCGATTTGCACTTAATAAAAATGTTTTAACTTGGAGATTTGGTTCGACTTGGCTGGACTTCTCACCCCCGAGGTAAAGATAGCTGGGTTGTCGCTCTCCAACATGCTCTCCAACTCCTCGTTTGTCGTATTTCTGCCGGCTAAGAGAGATAAAAACAAATGTAAAGTTTAAGAAGCGGAGCAACATTGATATAAAATCCTGTAATTAAAATGTCCTGACATCTTAAAACCCCTCCGTTTCTTCTTTATTTCCCTTTGAGGGCCAATTAAAAACAAACTGCTTTGATTCTTTCCTTCAAGCTTATTTTCAATTAATTTGCTCCTAATGACTGCGTTACGGTTAAACCTTATTTTGTGACTGCAATGGAGTTAATAAAAAAGCATTTGTGTCTGACGTGAGGACTTTAAAAGATTTTAACCAGAGATCTCAGATGTTTCAATAAGTAATTTGTACTAAAGTTTAGTTCAGAGTCATTAAAAATGGTCAATCGGTTCAAACAGAGATACCTACTTATCAGCTTGTATATCCTTTTTTTATCTGACTGTCAGGTGTTATAATATTTTCCATCTAGATGCTGTCAGATACATTATAACTGTTGATTATCGGATTAAAACTTTTGTTTTGTTCTCWAGATTCCTTCTGATGCAGATCTCTAAGGTTTGTTTTCTTTTTTTATTGCCATAAAAGGTGGGAAATAATGTATTTATGTGTCTGATAGCTAAATATCTTATTAACCAGGAAGAGATTTGAATAAGACTCTAAAAAAGTAATGAATGGACGTAAAAACAAGGTAGATAAAGTAGATCAGAGGTCTTCAATGACGGAGCAGCGACTCCTAGTGGTGTCATGGAGGTACTGCAGAGGAGACAATATTTTAGGACTAAATATCTTTTTTTAAGTTGTCTTAAAACACACCTTTCATATATAT